CCGGATATTTATGTCAGTGTCCGTCGGGTTTCGAAGGCGTCAACTGCGAGCTCAACATCAATGACTGCGAACACCATTCCTGTATGAATAACGGCACCTGTATTGACGAAATCAACTCCTATTCCTGCCTTTGTTTGACCGGATTTGACGGTATATTCGCAACCATTTCATGGCCTGTAATTGAATTTAATTGAAACGTTAATTTATAGGCAAAATATGTCAATACATGACCGATCCATGTGTACTGAATCCGTGCGAAAACGGGGCCACTTGTAAGCGAAGCAAACATTTTCTAATTGTTTTCTATTCATATGTTGTACTTAACTGTTATCCATATATCAGGCATAAAGATCACGAACGAAACATATCAGTGCAAGTGTCCGATCGGTTTCACGGGTGGGAAGTGTCATAACATCCGTTCGTGTCATTCCGAGTGTCACAAAGACTTCTCGCATTGTGTGAACGAAGACATCTGCGCCTGTCTTCCTAACCATCATTCCAATCACGCCTATTGTGATGCCATCAGTGACTGCAGTATTCCCAACCTGTGTCGTAATGGCGGCACCTGTCATATCAACGACAACAGGGATGGCTATTATTGTCAATGCCCTCAAGACTTCACTGGACTCATCTGCGACGAAAAGGTAACATTCAAAATGTCTCACGTATTGCACCAACACTGCAGAACCGTTGCAATCGTTTCATGACCATGTTGATTAGATTATACTTTTACTGTTATGCAATAACTATTAAACACTCTACAAACTAAAACTATAGAAATAGATATACATGATAACTTATAATGAAATAGTTCTAGCATATAATGATGAATCACTAATTTGTTAATGTTGAAATGAAACTGATATAACCATAAGCTTATAAGTTTATTACCAAGCAATCACTAGTATATTTTACTCAATTACAAGGATATACCAATTGTAGATTGAAATTGAATGATTCAAATAGTTGAGAGATTATTTTACAAACATGGTAATTGTTTAGATGAATACAATACTAAACACACATTTGTTGACACTATAACTAAAAATGTCTGTAATTTGTACTCCAATGGCAGACCTCATCGCCGATGAGTTTCATAT